CAGTGTGGGGACTGCAAACCTTGGGCTGAGTGAATTAGTTCACACTGGTGGCAGTCGAATAGTAGCTACTTTGCCTGGAGGTGCCTGGCACAAGTTGGCCGTGGTTGATCCTGGGAGCTTGGCCCATGAGTAGCTTTGTCTGGAATGTTCAAGCCTATTTGCCAGACAGCATTGGGGAAAGGTAGGAGCTTAGGATGAAGCAGCAGTCTGTGGCTTAATTGGGCTTGTAAAGGACAAAATGGGCTAAACTAGATGTATTCTAGAATCAGTTGGACACCTTTAGTTTCCTCTAAGTCCCTCCGGAGCTCTGATAGCATAGTGCCTAAGGCACTTGACTGCTAATCAGAAGGCTGGTGGTTCAAACCCACCAGCCACTCCTCAGAAGGAAGGTCGGGCAATCTACTTCCGTAGTGATACTGCCTCAGAAACTCGAGGAGGGTCGCTATGGTCAGGTCCGACGCAAGGGCAAATAACAACAACAAACAACAAGTCCGTCAGTGGTAAAAATGGTTAACACACTTGGTTGCCAACAGAAAGATTAGAGGTTGGAGTCTACCAACCTCAAAAGAAAGGCCTGGTGATCTACTTCAGAAAAAATCAACCATTGAAAACCCTATAGGTCTTCCCTGACACACATGAGGTCACTACGCATCAGAGTCAAAGCGACAGCAACTGGTGGTTTTTTTTTAAGGTTCATTGAATATCCTTTCTTTTCCTGTTTAATTTTGGAAAACATAAAGGCCCCAGACTTTTCACTTCCTCCAGTAGATTCTTGATTATTTAGGAAGGGAGCTTTCAACACAAGAAAGACCATCAGGAAATGGAATTTATGTTCATGGACAAGGCCTGAAAGAAGCCATTCCTCTCAACCCAGCGCTGGGAGAGGAAGGCGCAGGTTTTCTTGCAGGAGCCATAAATCTACCACCAGATGTCTCTGTCGCCCAGTCTACGGGCCTTTGAACAAGAACTAAAGGCTGTGGATGCCCAGACTTGCTCTTTCTGTGAACTTCATGGTGCACCCCTAACTCAATAAATGAAATAGAAACAACCAAGGGTGTGTGCTTGTGGACAGGGGGGAGAGGGTGGTCTTGCTTTTTCTTTTCTGAGTTTCCTCATCAGGTTTTTCCCTAATTCTCTGGTCATTTATTTCCCTGCACTGATTCTAGAAGTCTGAGAGGAGTCATAGGGAGCTCACAGGAGAGATTAAATATTGGCACGTGGAGGCCAAGGGCGAGACAATGAGGCCAGTTGATCTCCCTCTTTCGTTAAGGTGGCTCTTGGTATCCTTACAATGCTATTGACAGTAAGGAATGCCACTGAATCCTGGGCTCCCTGTTGGTCCCCAACCAACCAGAAAAGGGCAGCTCAACAAAGGGCAGAGCACAGATGTTGTAGACCTGCCTGTGGCTCTCATCGAAAGTATATGGAAAACAATCACTTGCTTTACTATTGGTGTTAATCACTTTTTGAGCCCAGATAGTGCAAGTGGTTCACGATTGGCTGCTAATCTAAAGGTTAGTGTTTCAAACCCATCCAGTAGCCCTGTGGAAGAAAGTCCAGGTGATCCTCTTCTGTAAAGATTACAGTCAAGAAAACCCTACAGAGGTCACTTCTCTGTAACACGAGTTTGCCATGAGTCGGAATTGACTCGACTGCAATGCGTTTGGTTTTAGTTTTAAAATCATTTTTTTGAATGTTTAAAAAATTTCATTGCAGGATCACCTGGTGAGTTAATTAGGCAAAGTAGAAATATATCTGGGATGGTGAAAATGATGTGTGCTTCATCTCTGAATTGGGGCATGAGCAATCTGCCCCTACTCCCCATGATTGAATCCCAAAGATAGTTCAGGGAGCGAAAACCAGCTGCACTAGTTATTTTGATAAATTTAGCATCTGTCCCAGTCAGGATGGTCTGATCTGGGTACAGTGATTTAAGGTGCAGCTAACTGTTTTTCCACAGCTTTTCCCCCAGGTAAGGATAACCTCTTTTTTTAATAAATAAATAAATAAATAAATAGATTTTCTTTTTAGAGTGATTTTTTTTTTTTTTTTTTTTTGGTTGTTGCTATCTTTTTTTTTTTTATTAGGATTTGGGTGAAGATTTACAGAGTAAATTCACTTTTCATACAGCAGTTCACATATACTTTGTCTCATGTCATTGACCAAAATTTACAATGCAGCAGCTCCCCTCCCACTTCCTCCCCATAGTTACCTCCTCCCAGTGTCCATCCCTTCATACTCTTCGAGAGGCCCATTGTCTGCCAACCCTGTATATGATCTTGGATACACTCTCCATTTAGACATACATAATTGTTTAGCTTGTTCACCCATCTATCCGTCCCTATACCCATGTTTGCTTTCATTAACAACTCAGTATTGTATTTACAAAGGGGTTCATATTTGTTGTTTGTACTGCCCATGTAACTCTCTCTGTCTTTCTCATCCTCAATGCTGCCATATTGGTCACTCACATTTGGTACATTGCCCTTCTCTTCACCCAAATCAATATTTATCTCTATCTATCTAACAGCATTCCCTCCCCTCCCCTCCCACCCCTGGTAACCAACAAAGAAAATGTCCTCCAATATATAAACATTTCCTTAACTTTTACAATAACGGACTAATACAATATTTGTCCTTTTGTGACTGACTTATTTCGCTCAGCATAATGTCCTCCAAGTTCATCCACGTTATGTGGTGTTTTACAGATTCTACATTATTCTTTAGCGTTGCATAGTATTCCATTGTGTGAATGTACCAAAGTTTGGTTATCCATTCCTCAGTTGTTGGACATCTAGGTTGTTTCCAAGTTTTGGCTATTGTAAATAGTGCTGCGATGAACATCGGCGTGCATATATCTGTTCTTGTTATGGCTCTCACTTCTTTAGGGTATATACCTAGTAATGGGATGGCTGGGTCAAATGGTATTTGTATTTCCAACTTTTGAAGGAATCGCCATACTGCTTTCCACAATGGTTGTACCATTTGACAGTCCCACCAGCAGTGTATGAGAGTCCCAATCTCTCCACAACCTCGCCAGCATTTGTTATTTTCTGTCTTGTTGAACTTTGCTACTAGTGCTGGAGCAAGATGGTATCTCATTGTTGTTTTGATTTGCATCTCTCTAATAGCTAATGATCGTGAGCATTTCTTCATATGTTTGTTGGCCGCTTGAATATCCTCCTTGGTGAAGTATCTGTTCATGTCTTCTGCCCATTTTTTAATTGGATTGTTTGTCTTTTTGTTATTGAGGTGTTGGAGTGTTCTATAAATTCTAGAGATAAGTCCCTTGTCAGATATGTTATTACCAAATATTTTTTCCCAATCTGTAGGTTCTCTTTTGACTCTTTTGGAGAAGTCTTTGGAAGCACATAAACATTTAATTTTTAGAAGGTCCCAATCATCTGGCTTCTCTTCTGCTGTTGGTGCATTTTGAATTATGCTTGGTAGTCTATTTATACCAAATATTAGGGCCCTTAAGTTTGAGCCTAAATTTTCCTTGAGAAACTGTATAGTTCTAGGTTTCACATTTAAGTCTTTGATCCATCTGGAGTTTGTTTTTGTGTGTGGTGTGAGGTACATATCTTGTTTCATTTTTTTAGAGTGATTTTACGTTTACAGAAAAATTGCACATACAGTGCTGTAGTTGTTGTTGTTAGGTGCCATCAAGTCAGCTCTGACTCATGGCGACCCTGTGCTCCAGAGAATGAAACACTGCCAGATCGTGTACCATCCTCACAGTCCTCGTGTGCTTAGCCCATTGTGAAGCCACTGTGTCAGTGCATCTTGTTGAGGGTCTTCCTCTTTCTCACTGACCCTCTACTTTACCAAGCATGATATTCTTCTCTAGGGACTGGTCCCTTCTGACAACATGGCCAAAGTATGAGAGATGTAGTCTGGCTATTTTTGCTTCTGAGGAGCATTCCGGCTGCAATTTCTCCAAGACAGATTTGTTCGTTCTTCTAGCAGCCCATGGTACATTCAATACCCTTCACCAGCCATACAATTGAAATACATCACTTCTTCTGCTGTCTTCTTTATTCATTGTCCAGCTCTCACATGCATATGAGGCTGTTGAAAGTATCATGGCTTGGGTCAGATGCACCTTAGTTTACAAAGTAATAGACATAAAGTCTTCAAGTGGGAATGAAACCGTTAATAGGTGCCTGCAGACAGTGTGAGGCCAATAGTGGCCCCCTGGTGTGCCAAGCTTGGGTCTTCTCAGAGTTGGGTTGCTTGGGAATATAGCCCAAAGCTGGTGGTAAACTCCATCTAAGGCTAAAAACAAGACTTATAGTCAGAAAATAATGGAAGGCAAAGTTGAAAAGAACTTTGAAGAGAAGTGTGTTCCATAGGATTTTCAATGGCTGATTTTGCAGAAGTAGATCACCAGCCTTTTTTCTAAGGTGCCTCTGGGTGGACTCAAACTTCCAACCTTTCAGTTAGCACATGAGCACATTAATCATTTGTACCACCTAGGGACTCCTTGGAATAGCAAGGTGGATATTTACAGGAGGCATCACTCATCTGCATCTCTGTGTTTTTTAGTTGAGTTGCTTAGCTGTGATCTTAACAGAGTTAGGAACTTTTCTAAATAAAAGGCTGGGATACAAAAATAAGAATCCAGCCAATGAATGGATGAGTTGTATCTGAAGAACTCAAGAGAACATTTGAAACAGAACAATCCATGGCAAAATAGAATTCAAAGTGATTCATTCATACTCAACCTCTCATTATCCTCAACAGCAACCCTGTCTCCTTTATATAGGATAGAGTTTGAGATACAGAGAATCATAAGATGCAGTCTTGATCTTATTCCAAATATATTCTTAAAAGACTTTCATACATTCTCTCCCCATTCCCCACCAGTCACACACAAAAAAGCACATTGCCTTGTTTTAAAAAATTTAGGATAGATTTTTTGGAAACCTTGGTGTTGAGGTCCAACACTTGGAATTTCTGACAACAGAACATGATGTAGTATGATTATTTCTTAACAGCTTAGAGAGGGTGATGAAGAGGTGATGGAGATGCCCCAGGAAGATCTGAGTGAACAGTACTATTATCAGAAGGAGAAAAATAGCTCTCAAGAAGCCACCAGTGAAAGGCTGTATTCTCTGAAGATCCGAAACACTACTAACTGCAACACGGGGACATACAGGTGCACTCTGTGGGACCTAGAAGGGCAGAGAAACCAAAGTGGCACAGTGACCCTGAGAGTGATAGGTAAGTGATCTGCTGCACTTGTTTTCTTCTTGAGAATGCACATGTGCTTTCTGTATGTCCTAAAATCAATCCTCTTGTTCAGAGTCTGACACTGGAGCCTGGGATTGCATCTGCAGTAGAATTCTACTGCAAGGATGTTGTAACTTTAAGTAGCTTTAAAATTACCTTGTGTTTGACTTTTGCCCAACACTTGTTAGCAGCTGATGCTTGAAATGACAAACAAGTCTTCATGGAGTTCCAGATTTTGTACAATGGCCACTTTCTCCTTCTATCACATATCTGAAAGGAATCTGACTCAAGCATATGTCATACTCACTGCTCACTGCCGTCAAGTCAGATCCGACTCATAGTGACCCCACCTTGGTTTTCCAAGGTAGTATCACTACAGAAGTAGATTTCCCATCTTTCCTTCTGAGGAGTGGCTGATGGGTTTGAACTGCCAGCCTTCTGGTTAGCAGTCAAACGCCTTAGGCACTATGCCAACAGAGTTCCCAGAACATATGTCATAGATATTATTATTCCCATTGTAGAGATAGGAAAACTGAGGCTTAGAGTTAATAAATATAATTTTATAATATTCTTATATTCAGACGAACACAATGTTTCAGTGTTTGGGGATGTAGTGTTTGGAGTTGTTCACTATCATTATATGTATGTTATTTAGATATGTTATATAAGTATATACCCACTACCATTGAGTCCATTCGACTCATAGTGACCCCCATTGGGTTTCCAATCATTATGAAAAGTAGATTGCCTCATTTTCCTCCAGTTGGTGGGTTTGAACTGCTGATCATCTGGTTAGTAGCCTTACCCACTACACCACCAGAGCTCCTTATATAGATATATAGTGTATAACATAAGCAGTATGTTATTTGTACTTAATTCAGTCACCAGCACTGTACCCTACTTTGTCTTCATAACACCTAGTTCACCTGACATATTACATATGGATTTGTTTCCCTTCTGTCTTCCTCCATGAAAACAGGAACTTTCTCTGTTTTGTTCCCTGCTATTTCCTGGCACATAGTAGATGCTCCATGAATATTATTTACATGAATGAAAAATGAGAGTAATTTGCAGGGGAAAGCAGAGGGAAGGAACATGTCCTGCAGGGGGTGGAAAGGAAATGAACAGAGTGTGTAATTATTTTCTCCTTTTCCTTGTGGGAAGGCAATAGTGCCTATACATTATGTGGTTAGGCTCTGAATTCATTTAGATATTAGTCAAATACTAGCTCTGTCATTCATTAGCATGTGACTTTGGGCAAATCACTTTATTGACTCTGAGCCTCAGTTTTCCTATCTCTAAAATGGGAACAATAATATCTATGATATATGCTTGTTGTACAGATTAAATAGGATATTACACTAAAATGCTTGATATAGTATCTGAGGTGCTCCATCAATGTTAGGGATCATTAGGACAGTGGCTTGCAGTTTTTCAATCACAGGCACTTGTAAGAATCCATCCCTAGAATATTGCACAAAATTTTGAATTCATTTTCAAGGTTGATATCTCTCTTGAGGCACCTCCAATCATTTACATCCCACTTTCCCGTGTCTGGGGCTTCAAGAAGATTTGGTTACCAGCCAGACTACAGCCAAAGCTAAACACATAACCTCACATGGCACAGTGAATGTCAGCACCTAAGTGGGGAGAGCCTGTCACCTCCATGTCTCCTCCTGAGTTTAGCACTGCACTCCTCCTGCCCATGTCCTTCTTGAGTGCTGCAGCTGCAGGCTTAGCAACTCATTAGGGAGCTGTTCTCTTTCCCACCTGTTCTTCCTGCCTTGGTGGAAGAGTTTTTACAATTCTGTAAAAATGTGTGCACTTATCCATTAATACCAGAGAAGCTCCCCTGCCCCATTTCATAGCCCTTGAATCCTCTTGAGGTCAAGTAGAATTCTACACCACACCTATGAAACTAAAATAATTACTAATTAACAAATAGTAGTTCATCTGATGTGGAGAGTAAATACTGCTAGGAAATGTCTGACATCTGAAGTGGAGGCAGACAGGCAGGAGGATAAGTCTGGACCTGCCACCTGGCTCTGCCACCTGGCTTAGTTCCTGAGCCTCTCTGAACCTCAGATTCTTTGTCTGTAAAATGGAGATACTCAAATCTGCTTCTGAAGGTGGTTGTGGAGACTAAGTGAGATGTCACAGGGACGTCTCCCTGCTCACCACCAGGCTCAGAGTGGGCACTAGCTGTCACTCTCACTGTTTCTGTTACTCTCCTCAGTGGTATAGATAGATGAGGGTAGGAATGCCAGACATGCAGGACTTAAAAAGTGGAAAAAAAGTAACTTTGCTTTTTATCATGGTAGAAAAGCCCTGCTAAATGGTTTCATATGTTACTTTTTTTTTTTTTTTTTTAAGGATGCCCCAAGGAACACAAAGAAAATAATTTTAAGAAATACAGAGCAGAAATTGTGCTACTGTTGGCTCTGGTTGTTTTCTACTTAACACTCATCATTTTCACTTGTGTAAGTATCTTTTCAAAAGCATCTATTATTATTAAAAGATTACCTGTGACACTCATCTGAATATGCTTTGTGGACTGTGGAATCATTTAATGATTGTGAGAGATACTACTCTCTGAATCCTGGACTTATGGAAGCTCTCAAACTAGGAGAATTATTATAAGCAGCTCCTTGAAATATTTCCAATGTGTTTTTCCTCTTATGACTATACATACAGTGTAGTGAAGAGAAAGTAAAGTAATACATGTGATGGAAATTTGAGAAGTGCTAAACCTATCACCTGCTATATCAAGTCGATTCCAACTTATATCAACCCTGTAGGACAGAGTAGAACTATCCCATAGGATTTCCAAGACTGTAATCTTTACAGAAGCAGACTACCACATCTTTTCCCAAAAAGCAGCTGATGTGTTTGAACTGCCAACCTTTCGGTTGATAGCTGAGCTCTTAACCACTCAGCCATCCAGGATCCTGAGAAGTGCTAAAAGATCCCATTAAAGTACCAGGAGGTCTTGTAGTTACAGTGGTCAGAAGCAGAACTGTAGACCACCCTCCAGGGCAGATGCATCATTCTTCTTGAAGGCTCACGTTCTTCACTTATGCAGGCAAGTGGTCAAGCCAGGACATACCAGTGATGTATCAGTCACCTTCACCTGCTCTGGAGCTGTTTTTTCTTGGAGGTTCTTCCCTTGTATCATTGGTACTTTCACCTACTCCTTAAGAATTAATCCTGAAGGTGAAAACAGCCCAAGTGTCCATCAGCAGATGAATATATAAACAAAATGTGATGTATAGATACAATGGAATATTATTCAGCCATAAATACTAAATACTAGCTCTGTCATAAACAGAAATGAAGTGCTCGTATATGATACTACCTGGATGAGGTTTGAAAGCATGCAGAGTGAAATAAGGCAGTCACAAAAGGACCAATATTGTATGATTCCACTTATATGAAATATCTAGAATAGGCAAATGCATAGAGACAAGAGTTCATTAGGTTACCAGGGGCTGGAGAAGGAGGGAATGAGAATTATTTGGAGTGATGAAAAAACTTGGAAATTGATACTGGTGGTGGTGGCACAACATGGTGAATGTAATTAATGTCACCAGATTGTATATTTTAAAATGGTTAATGTTAAGTGGATTTCACCTCAATAATAATTTAAAAAAGATATTAGGATAGTTTCTGCCCTCAGGAAGCTTACAGTTTGACCATTAAGGTTATTTGCTTATAAGAAGATAATTAGAACTATCAGGAAGTAAATTTAAAAAATGAGTTACCTTGATTTCTTGTTTGCAAATGCCTATTTTTGTGGCACTGGGTCTCCAACACATCTGTAACAGTGGGGCTAGACATGGCCCCACTCTGTAGTTTAGTGAATGTCCTGGTTAAAGGTTGGAAATACCAGTGAAACAGTGCAAATTCGAGTGACTGTGGTGGTGAGTATAATGAGAGCTTCCAGAATGAGTTGCCCAGCCAGCTCTTAGTGAATGGAGTTCAACTAGAGGTGACAACTGATGCATTTTTCCAGTTATATACTTCTCAACTCATCTCTTTTGTTTTGTTTCATTTTTCAGAAGTTTGCACGACTACAGAGTATTTTTCCAGATGTTTCTAAGCCTGTCATGGATCGAGCTTTTCTCCCAGTCACTTCCCAAAATAAACATTTTGGTCCAGTGATTTTTCATAAGACAGAATTGGTATAAGCTGGATTTTTGTAGGTTGATTTTCTTAAAACTGAGGGTTCTGTGGTGTGTCTGTCTTCTACACTGGACAAGAGAAGAATGAACCCCACACTAAAGATGGCATCCTTCCTGTGAAGACCTTCACTTGACTGAAACATCTGAAAATGGGTCCCATCTCACTTTCTGCAAGTGAAGCTTGAAAACCATGATATGATCATGTCATCTGGGGCCATCTGCACAGTGTTTGCTAATGCTGCTTCTTCATGGGTGCCATTTTAGTGTTTTGCTCAGCTATCTGGTCAACCTCTTGGAAATTTTTTCAGTCATACAAAAGCTATTGGAAGGTACTATTGGAAAAGGGTCTTGGGAAATAGGAGTACCTAAAACTGGCCCCATGACAGACTCCTGAGGACAGCTTCTTCTTCCATATCTGGGAAATATCTCTTTGAATCTGCTGTGTTTTGTTGAATTAACCCAGATGTTTTATGTCTGGGAGAAATAGACAGGCCAAGCTGTGAGACAGTGGGAAATAAGTGGCAAATAATTTCCTGGTGTGAAGGCCCTGTAGTTACTAAGAAGTATAATGTGTACATAGACATAACAGGTCAATGAACTGTTCCCCAACAGGGTCTTTTCATCTGGGAAAAACATCCATAAAGAAACGATAAAGAAAAGTGGCCACATTTATTTTTATATTTCTATATACTTGTCAAAGAAGGAGTTGTGTTTTTTCTCTTTTTGGAATCTATGTCTACAACTAGACATTGTTGTTAATTGACAAACACCCAGAATATAGATGTTCTCCATCCTACTTTGGTGAGTAGCAACTGGGGTCTTAAAAGTTTGTGAGTGACCATCTAAGGTGCAGCTATTGGTCTCTCCCCATCTGAAGCAGAGAAGAGTGAATAAAGTAAAAAACACATGACAAGAATTAGTCCAAAGGACTAATGAACCACTTGAACCCTATTCTCCATGACCCTGAGACCAAAAGAACTAGATGGTGCCTGGCCACCACTGCTGACTAGTCTGAAAGGGATCACAACAGGAGGTCCCAGATGGAGTGGTAGAAAAATGTGGAACAAAACTCAAAATCATAAAAAAAAGCCAGGCTTACTGGTCTGATGAAGACTGGTGGAACCCCCTAGATTATGGCCGTTAGACACCCTTCAAACCAGGAACAGAACTCAACTTTCAGCCAAACGACAGGCCTATGAGGTGAACAGTGAATCCAGGAGGGTATGTGCTCATTAGAACAATCAACCAAACAATATCAAGAGGGCAGCATTTGCCCAGGGATAAAACTGGGAAGGTGGGAGAGATGGAAAAGAAGGAGGAAGGGTAGTGGTGGCCAAGAGGAGGAAGTAAGAAGAGTGCTCTTGCATTTTGGGGATTGCAGTGAATGTCACAAAATAATTTATATAAATTGTTGAATGGAAAACCAACTTATTCTGTAACTTTCACCCAAGTTACAATAAATATTTTTTTTTTAAAGAAGAAGAAGTCAGAGACTGACAACAAGATTAGAAGCTCTTTTAGTGACTTCACAGTTACTGGACCAATCATGCAATCTGGGGTCTAGTCTCAGTTGCCCAACTACCTAGATGTATGATCTTGGACAAGTTTGTTACGGTTTCTACTTTCTCAGTTGTCAACAAGAAGGTTGCTATATGGGTTGATTGTGGAAATGTTTTGAAAAATTATAAAGCACTATACAAATATAAGTTTCTATTAGATCATTATTCTTGTTATTTCAGTAATATTTTAGAAATTAGAATGCCTTTCATTTTTCATGTTTTCCACCATTCCAAACAAACAAGTCTATAAAGAGGAAGTCCCATGATCTTTTGTGTGAATTCCTTTGAGGAAATGAGAAGACAAGTTCTCTAGTCTATTCTTGGACACAAAAGTATTCTTAAGACATGTACACACTGGGTACTGGGCAGTAGAGGAGAAGGGAATTCACAGTATGTTGCATTGATGTTTTGGCAATTGTTGGGTTTCTCTTACTGAAGCATGGCCCTTTTCCATCTTGTTTTTCAGAGAGATTTCATCTCTTTAGTAGTGTGTGTGTCTCCTACATTTATGTTACAAAGTAAAAGGGTGCCAAGTTGATTTAGTGGTTTTGGCTCTTGGTCAGAACTTTCATGTAATTAAATGTATGCATGTGAACAGGGTATGTTCTTCTTATATTGAAAACTACTCATAAGACTTTGGGATGAGTGCTCAGAGGTCCATAAACTAGATTGAGAACCAGAATCCAAGATGATATTTTGGAGATGAAAGATCGCCAAGTCCTTCCTTGAAGAGGGAGGTTATATATGTTAGATAGACCTCTTTGATATAGTACCCCTCTTACCCAGTGATGTTCCTGAATCCATCCGGGAGCTGAATTGCTGCTCAGTTATTATTTGAGCAGCCTGAGCACACACATGGCAACAAGTCAGAGGGAAGGAAAGAAAGGGGATTTCTACTTCAGATGGGGCTCAGGATTCTCAAAGGGATCCCTGACTCCCAAGATATTAGGAACAGACTGATGCCATTAGTTGTAATAGTTATAAAAGCATCATTGGTGAATCCATTTTGGAAATTGACTATTTGCAAAGATTAATGCACATAAAATGTCTTTAAAAACTGTAGATTCCCTTTGCAATGGAATCAGCTCCATTCAGAAGTTTACCAAAAGTATCAGGGAGAGCATTTTGCACAGTAATTAAGACTTCAGAGAATTCTTATTCTAGTTTGATCACTTGGAAGTTGTAGGCCTGGGCAGGGAACTTACCTCTTTAAACCTCAGTTGATGGATCATTAAAATAACAATAACAATAGCATCTGTTCATTAATAGACTTGCTATAAGGAGTCAATGAAATATATGTAGGGCTAACCCTGGTGTTTGGCAAATTATGAACTATTGATTAACATTAGAACAAGAAAGAAGAAAAAGGTGACAGATAAATTGGAAGTGACCATGAATCACAGGCAAAGTCATTTTATTAAAGTAAAAGCAATGACTGACTTGGTGGAGGAGTCAGATTGCTCTCAGAAGATTAATATGCAAAGGTATAAACCAAAAAAACCAAACCCACTGCCATCGAGTTGATTCGAACTCAGCAATCCTATAGGACAGAGTAGAACTGTCTCTAGGGCTTCCAAAGGTATAAATCTTTATGGAAGCAGACTGCCTCATCTCTTGTGGAGCAACTGATGAGTTCAAACCACTGACCTTTTGGTTAGCAGCTAAATGCTTTAACCACTGTGACACCAGAGCTCCTTCACAAAGGTACAGATGTGGATAAACTAAATTTTCATGGCCACTAGAATTATAATACAAGAGAGATTAGGGAGAAGGGATGCTCTTCATCAGTTTGGACTAAAGGTACAAGCATGATGGACTTTGGGATCAGGTAGATTCTAGATTTCACACCTAATCTTTGGTATTTGGAGGCCCTGGGTAGTGAAATAGTTACTGCACTCAGCTGCTAAACAAAAGGTCAGAGGTTCAAGTCCACCCAGAAGCACCTCAAAGGAAAGCCCAAGCTATTTACTTCCAAAACACCAGCCACCCTGGAAGACAGTTCTGCTCTGACACGTAAGGAGTTGGCCATGAATTAAAATTGACTTGATGACAAATGGTATTGTACTGTATTTTGGTATATGAAAAGGAGACTGTGTGGGGAGGGGGTAAAGGTAGGAGTGTAGGACTTAAGAGAGTGGACTGGTTTTCAGCTTGCTCAATTGAGACCAGATAGGGTATTTCTCAGAAAGGTAAATCATCATGGACTATATTTATTCCTTGCCTCAACTGCCAGGGAAAGCTTTATCTTCAGGACCCGTCTTTGTCCATGGAACTAGATCCACAGCTAAAATAATTTTACCTTGGGATGTCTTAAGGCACAAATACAGACATGAATATCAATTCCACAGTGTTCCAAAAAAAGAAGTCTCTGGTTTTTTGTTTTCATAATATTGAGCAGGCTTCATTATACAAAATACTAAGCTGCACAGATGCAGTTCAGCAGAGCCAGCCTGTTCACTGGGGTTGCAGGAGAAGAGATACAACAGCAGCTTGTAGAGATGGTAAAATGGGGCTGCTGTGTGTGACCTCACAGCATAATAAGAGTTGGAGTCCATCAGAGTCATTCAGTCTAGTTCTTTAGCATTTTCCTCATCTGCAACTTTATTTGGTCATATTAACTACATGATTGTTTAATAATACATCTTTCTTGTTAAAAATAGCAAAAGCCAACAAACACATGAGAAATTGCTCACGATCATTAATCATTAGAGAGATGCAAATCAAAACAACAAAGAGATATCATCTCACCCCAGCAATAATAGCAAAGTTCAACAGATCAGATAGTAACAAATACTGGCGGGGTTGTGAAGAGATTGGAACTCTTGTGCACTGCTGGTGGGATTGAAAAATGGTACAACCATTGTGGCAAATGGTATGAACGTTTCCTTAAAAAACTGAAAATAGAAGTACCATTTGACCCAGCAATTCCATTACTAGTAATATATCCTAAACAGGTGAGAGATAGCACATAAACAGACATACATACACCTATGTTCATTGCAGTACAATTCACCATAGCAAAAAGATGGAAACAACCTAAATGCCCATCAATGGATGAGTGGATAACCAAATTATGGTATATCCACACAATGGAATACTATGCCACATTAAAGAACAATGAGGGATACGCGAATCATCTTGCAATGTGGATGAACCTGGAGGACATAATGCTGAGTGAAATAATCACAGAAGGACAAGTACTGTATAAGCCCATTACTGTAAAAAGAGAAGGGTTTGCTTGGAAAAGGGAACTCACCTAGTAGGTTACCGGTATGGGGAGGGAATGGGAGGGATTAATTTATAGCTAGTTGGGGCATACATGCTGACATGGGTAGGGGGAGGGATATACAGGAAGGATATATGACCACCATGATAACATTGGGAAATGACACCTAACTTTGCACATAAGAGATAGAAGACAGATGCTAAAACCAACCAATGTGTCCA